TAGCTTAGGTTCTCTCAAACAGTGGTGAAATGCTATGGCAAGTACGTGCATTGAGAAACAAAAGCAGCCTTTGTTGTGTGCTTTTGAGATTTTTTACTTCATTTGTATTTTGGTGTAATGAAAATAATTCCTTTTTGTCAAATTAGTTGAGGATAGGTTTTGGACTTGTTAGGAAATATATATATATATATATATTATAACTAATTTTTCACTTCTATTTTATTTAGTATGATGATAATATGATATGAGCTTAATGAAGAAATGGGGATTCATATAGTGATCCCAACTTGTTTGGGACTGAGGCATAGTTGTTGTTGTCGTTGTCGAATTAGTTAGAGGAAATTTTGGAACTTCATGTCATGATTTTGTATGCGATGACACTTGTTTTGGTGTAATAATCAACCAAAAGATTTTTTATTTATCAAAGAGAAGTATACTTCTATTTTGCAAGAAAGTACTTATGCAGAATATTTTTCTCAGTTCTTTCGGCTTCTGGTGGGATCAAGGTGGACCATCCGAAGATGAGTAATGGTATTAATCTACCTTCCAACTACCTTTCTTTGATGTGTTTGTTAATTACAGCTTGTTTACTTGCATCTCTTTCAGTTATTTATGACACACTCACAAAGAAATTCATTATTCTGCTTGTTGATGCAGATGTAGTAGTGGTTGTTGCTGTCATTATATTAGTTGGTTTGTTTAGCTTACAGCATTATGGCACAGACAGAGTGGGTTGGCTGTTTGCCCCAATTGTGCTGCTTTGGTTTCTTTTAGTAGGGGGTATTGGTATCTATAACATCTGGAAATACGATAGCTCTGTTTTACGGGCTTTTTCTCCTGTCTACATATATCGGTATTTTAAAAGGGGAAAAAGAGATGGTTGGACATCACTGGGAGGGATCATGCTCAGCATTACAGGTTTTTTCCTCTTGCCCTTTTCTCTCTTTTCAAACATCTTTTTTTTTTTTGTTATTTGTCAATAGTTATTACAGCACCAAGGTGATGAGTGTGTGCTCCTACTTATAATTGCTTGGCTCGCTATTTCAGGAACAGAAGCACTTTTTGCTGATCTTGCTCATTTTCCAGTGTCAGCAATACAGCTTGCTTTCACGGTCATTGTTTTCCCTTGCCTTCTTTTGGCTTATTCTGGACAAGCAGCTTACCTCATGCAAAATACGGATCACGTTGCTGATGCATTCTATCGATCTATTCCAGGTATTTCTCGCTCTTGAACTTTGATAATGTCAAAAGTGATGTTTTTTTCTCAATGGTGATAAAACAGATAAACATTGTGTGGACCTAAAAGGTCGTAATATCGATAGAGCTCTGGCCTCTGAGTGAAGATTGGAGTATCTTTGGCAAAGTGCACATTCAGTACACAGAAAAATAGCCTGTTACCACTTTATCTAATCATTGAGTTAGAGAACATACTCATTGGAGAGGATATATAAGAGAAACTAAGTGTGGGGTAACCAGTGAGATGTCAAGAAGGACTTGTCGCGAGCAAGGTTGTGGCTGAAGAGTAGTGATAGAGGAGAATCTGAGACTTCCTTTGCCAATAGAGACTTGCCCAAATTCTTTTTAAATGATTTTTCACAAATCCAAAATTCTTAAATCAAGCACCACTTACCTATTGAAGCTTTTTTTTTGGGGAGGATAAAGCCACTTACCTATTGAAGCTAAAGAGTACACCTTATCTCTTGTAATGGAAACATCCCTTTTTTCTTTCTAGTGATTATCAGACACAGATGATTTCTTTTCCATGTAACAAGACTTGAATGCTATGACGAAGGCTGGTCCACTGTATCCTATTCATTGTTACTAGCATTTAACAAGCTATAAGGATTCATGTATTGGGTAGGACAGCTGAATATGGGGCGGGAGGTTGTGGCTTGGAAACATGTTCATAAATTCCTAAATACTCTGATCATGTAACATTGATATTGTTTGCACATTTACTATGCTAATAATACAAACTGAGCCTATTTTATTTTCACGTAATTCTAAAAAGCACTAATCAGGTTATATATCATGTCATAGTGTACAGTCTATGTGGATTACCATTTTCCGCCTACCTTTGAAGAAAAAAGAGGGAAACAAAGTAGAATTATCAAGGAAGATATGGTAGTAGTAAAAGGTTACTAAATATATTAGTATAATGTATCTGGCCAGAAATAATCTTTTTTTCTTGATGCAGAAAGCATATACTGGCCAGTTTTTGTCATTGCAACTTTAGCTGCTATTGTTGCCAGTCAGGCTACCATATCTGCAACTTTTTCAATAATCAAGCAAGCTCTAGCACTTGGCTGTTTCCCAAGAGTAAAGGTTGTGCATACATCAAAGAAGTTCTTGGGGCAGATATATATTCCTGATATTAATTGGATTCTTATGGTTCTTTGCATTGCCGTTACTGCTGGATTTAAAAATCAAAGCCAAATAGGCAATGCTTATGGTGAGTTTGTGCCTTACATCTAATATTTCTTGATTCCTTTGGCATTTTAAACATGCAAAGACAGATTTCAGTCTTGATAAGATTAAATTTCTGAGGGGACACTGGTTGACTGATAAATATATTTCTGTTTGTTGTCTACCTTTATGTATGGTCCTTATTAGGGGTTCATATCTATTTTTGGTGATAGAGTTGCATGCACTCGAGCTGATGCATGTTGATTTCCTATCTCTATGGTGTACTTAATCATATCATTGTAGGTTACTGTAGTTCTCTTTGGTGCTTTCGCTGACATGCATGCTAAAGTTACAAGTTTGTTAATGAAGTGAAGTCTGGAGTTCAACAATTAGAATGTAGTTTAATATTAGCACGAGTTAATCAGCCGTCTATGGTTTAGGTTTCTTTCCTTATCATTTGGTGGAGAGAAAGATAAGGTGTGTCTATTGGTTCAACAATAAAATTGAAGTGGCACATCAGTTTAAAGTTGTCCCAACAAAATCAAACCAGAAGATGTATCCATCTTTTCATATTAATAATCCCTGTTCTGAAGTCTTGCAATTGATTTCTTATTACTGTTGACAACAGCCTTACCTTGAAACTCACTAGTTGACATGGCATTTGTTGAACAGGAACAGCAGTGGTGATAGTCATGCTGGTGACGACATTGCTCATGACTTTGATAATGTTACTAGTATGGCACTGCCATTGGGTTGTTGTCCTTATCTTCACTGTCTTATCTCTGGTGGTTGAATGTACCTACTTCTCAGCAGTACTTTTTAAGCTTGACCAGGGTGGTTGGGTTCCCCTCGTGATTGCTGCAGCTTTTCTTGTCATCATGTATGTATGGCATTATGGAACAGTGAAACGCTATGAATTTGAGATGCACAGCAAAGTATCTATGGCATGGATTCTTGGGCTTGGCCCCAGTTTAGGATTGGTACGTGTGCCAGGAATTGGACTCGTGTACACCGAGCTAGCTAGTGGAGTGCCTCACATCTTTTCTCACTTCATTACCAACCTACCTGCTATACACTCAGTTGTGGTATTTGTGTGCGTAAAGTACCTTCCTGTTTATACAGTTCCAGAAGATGAAAGATTCCTTGTGAAACGGATAGGACCGAAGAATTATCACATGTTCCGCTGTGTTGCTAGGTATGGTTACAAAGACCTCCATAAGAAGGATGATGACTTTGAGAAAAAGCTTTTCGATAATCTCTTTATGTTTGTCCGGCTGGATTCGATGATGGATGGCTGCTCTGACTCTGATGAATACAGCTTATATGGACAGCAAACCCAACATTCAAGAGATTATAATGGAAACTCATCTACTGCAAATATTGAACTCAGTTATTCATCAATGGACTCGATAGCCCCTGCCAAATGTCATCCTCAGGGAAACAGCACAATCACATCATCAGGCCACGAGAGCAGCCAGACCGAAGTAGATGAATTGGAATTCTTAAACAGTTGTAGAGATGCTGGGGTTGTACACATACTTGGGAACACTGTAATTAGAGCAAGAAGGGAATCCAGGTTTTATAAGAAACTTGCTATAGACTATATATATGCATTCCTTAGGAAAATATGCAGGGAAAATAGTGTCATTTTCAATGTACCGCATGAGAGCCTCTTGAATGTTGGACAGATCTTTTATGTGTAAATTAACAATTCGAATATTATGGATTTTCTTCACTGTCTCATCTCATGTATTATAACTTTTTTCTTTTGGATAATAGCAGTGCACTGTTCTGATAAGATGAATGCACATAATTATTTGTACAACTGGTTGCATTAAACTCGTTCTTACATACTGCATAGAAAAATGCAACTGTTGCAAAATTCGAGATTTTAGGAGTAGGCGACATCCCCTCTTAGTTTTGAGTAGGCGGAACCATTCTGTTTTGGTTAATATGCCTTCAGAAACGTCTATAGTAGATTATCAAATTGCTGACTTTGAAAATACTAAAATATAATTGCCTCTAATTCTCAAATAATCTCCTGTAGATGTTCATTTGCATTCTGAAGTAGTGAACATAGCCTTCTCCTAATTTGCTTATAGATATAATACATAAATAAACACTCAAATTTGGCCCCAACTAACAAGTAAAATACTTCAATTTTGAAAGCACACATCTAGACACCTGCAGACAATATAAAGAATACAAATGTTCAAGTACACAGTGGAGACGTGTGGAGGTGTCTAAATGTGCATACTGTAATTTAAAGTGCTTACTAGCCAACTGAGGACAAGGTTGAGTGTCTGTTTATGTAATATGTCTTGTTTATATACAAGAAAGATGATACAATAAATATACTTTATTACAAAAAGAATTTTCATAGTTCTCCCTATAATTTCACTTTATTCCCCTCTAAGCAAATGAAGAAAAAGTGAGGAGATAATCTATTTGCTCCTTTCCGTTTCTGAGTTTCTTTTGCATTTTGTATAACAAACAAAAAAAGGAACAATTTTTTTTACCCCCCATCTCCTCAGCAAACTCCAAATAAAGACAGAAAAAAATCACGTAAAACTTATAATTAATATCACCAAGAATTTGAGGCCAAAGTTACATTTCCATTTATCATAGATACAAAATGATGTTTTACATAGTGTAATATATAAAAAGATTTTCATGTTTCCCGGGAATATATATAATGTCACTCGTTAGTATTCGACAATGTTGTTTCACACTCTAAAGGAGACCACTCTCCTCTCTCTGAATAATACAGAATAAACAGAGTATACTCCTAAAAGAAAGAAGGGACACCATGCCATCACTTGGCTGGATGAGCGTGTGGTCTTGTTGGACAGGCAGCAGCCATGGTACGTAAGCGTCTGGCAATTTCAGTGAAAGATGGGCGGATGGGAGGATCTGGAGCCCAACACTGTTCCATGAGCATTCTCCACTCAGTATCACAGAAGCTTGGCACAGGCGGTCTCAATGTGTTGTTGACAATACCACCTGCATACAATACAAAGGATACAAGACTGCATTAATTTCGAGACTTGGGATATTGCATGAGAATGAAGAGTGGAACACAATGAAAAAAGCAAAGAGAGAATTAAAGGGAATAAAGAAGTGGGGTGGAGGGGAGTGGTATTCTATTCTAGATTCTATCAATCAATCAACTACACTTCAACTCCTAACATAGTTGGGCTCAGCTATCAGAATCCTCTGTAAATATTTGCTCTCTTCAAGCCCATTTCACACGAATACTAAATAATGTGTCTTTTCAGCTCATTTCAATTCTCAATTCTACATACCAAGTAGTTTTCTTCTATGTTCAAGCTGCACCTGACATACTAAGTGGCTTACTAAATAAGAGATTGGCAGGAATAGGAACTAGCACCAAAAATAGTTGAACCATGTTGAGCTTCAATGTCTTTTATCAATATTGGCACTTACGGAATGCCCTTGCAGATATAGCATAACATCAATTAACATCTTAGTGGCTTTAGAAACCCAAAGTTTTGATCAGGAATTTCTAGATATTGATTATTAGTAGAATTTTTTGTAAGAATGTAGCTGCTTCAGAAATTAGTGGGGATAAAATTGAAGTGCATATATTGACTAAATATGTCTATACTGCTGTGTTTTCACTTTCCAGTGAAAAAGCAACCTTCTGTTCCTTACTTCTAGAATGGACTCTAACACTCCTGCCTCAATCCTTCATTAAGGCAGCACTTAGCAGGAAATATAGGATATAACAAGCAACTTCTTGTCAGATGCAGACAGCAATGGCAGCACACACTGCAATGGGCGATATAAAGAGAAAAATGTTGGAAGGGATAGAGTAATATAAACCTATAATTGCTCCATAATGCATATTTGCATAAGGTTCTTCGCCAGTGAGGATTTCCCAGAGCACAATCCCAAAGGAAAAGACATCGACCTGCAAAGTTCAAAATTTGTTACTATGAATGGCAACTAGGCATCAAGGATTAAAATTATTTCATGATTTATTCTATCTTAAGTATGGAACTCTTGCTGATGAAGTTATGGTGGAACAACATTTCAAAGGGAAGATAGAAGTGTTGCAAGAAAATGCAGAAGCTATTTAACACAAAAGTTTAGGCGCAAAACTAATGAACAAGAGAGACCACATAATGCAAGAATTACATGGGTTTTGTACTAGTAGATATTTGAAACCAGACCTTTTTAGGGTGCTGATAAATCTGAACTCCATTTTCAAAACAAAAAGAGAGACCACATAATTCATCGGATTCTTGAAGTTGGCAAACATTTTATAACAGCATGTTGAGTTAATAAGCATTAAGTACCGATATCCCCCACATGAAGTGGAAAAAAAATCACGTCTAAAATAGACTATAAGTTCCGCGATCACATTTGAAGAGTTAAACGTAAAAGAGGAATTCAAAGCTTACCTTCTCGGAAACCTTATTACTTCCACCATTCAATAGCTCTGGAGCCATCCATGGAAGCGTTCCCCTGACACCACCAGTAACCAAGGTATTTCTCTTAATTTTTGACAGCCCAAAATCAGCCACCTACACAACACAATTTCCATTAGCTTTGCACTGATCCCTCTACGGTATCTTTGTTGTCCTACTTGATGAAGATTTAAGGGATCGTTTGGTAGATGTATTAGAAGAAATAATGCATGCATTAGCTTTGTGTATTAGTAGTACCTTGTTTGGTACACTTTTTCAACCTATGTATAGCTAATGCTTGCATTAGTTATACATTCTATTGTGTATTTTCCTACGAATACATGGAAACGCATGGTATTAGTAATGCAAGAGGACTCGATGTATGCATTATCATGGTTAAAGACCCAATTGCCCCTCAATCTCTTTTTACATATTTGTGGAAGGTACCTTTGTAAATAAATACTCCCTCCGTTTCACAAAGAATGACCTCCTTTCCTTTTTAGTCAGTTTCAAAAAGAATGACCTCTTTCCTTTTTTGGTAACATTTTACTTTTTGCTTTCCACGTGGCATGTTTAAGACCACAAGATTAAGGGCAATTTTGTACATTTGACATAACTTTAATTTAGGACCACAAGATTCAAAAGTCTTCTTTATTTACTTAAACTCCGTGCCAAGTCAAACCAGGTCATTCTTTGTGAAACGGAGGGAGTATTTTTTTTAAAACTATGCAATACATACTATTTTTAATACACCAAACAAAACAATGCATAAGCAATAATGCAAGCACAACTAATTCAAGCATTACTAATACACTCTATTCAACATTATTCTTATACACTCTATGGGCCCGTTTGGTAGAGTGTATTAAAACAAATAATGCATTCATTAGCCTTGTGTATTACTAGTATCTTGTTTGGTACTATGCAAGCATTAGTTATACACTCTATTGTGTATTAAGGTGTGTATTGCTAATACCATGGATTTCTAGGTATTAGCAATGCAATGGTTTTAATGCATGCATTAACTTAATTAAAGACCCAATTGCCCCTAAATACCTTTTTTATATCTTTTCCACCAGAATAGTGAAGGGTATCTTTGTAAATAATTTTTTTAATGCAATGCATTCTATTTTTAATGCATCAAACCAAACAATGCATAAAAATAATCTATGTATAATTAATGCAAGCATTACTAATACACTCTATTTAGCATTATTTTTATACACTCTACCAAACGACCCCTAACTGTCATAATAAACTTGTACCAAGTATGATGAGTGGTTATCAAAGTGACTGAAGAAGCTGTTTAAAGTTTGGGGTTAGGAACTCTGTTTATGCATTTATTAAGCTAGTAATCCAGAAAAGAGTAAAAAGCCAACCTTAGATCTAGAAAGCATGCACCAATTACAGAAATCACATTATTATTAGGTATTGAGTCCTTCTGTGGTATTCTACCTGTTGCTTGGTTTAGGTCTACATTATTATTAGGTATGAGTCCTCGTGGGATTTCACGGGGTATGTTGTTGTTGTTGTTGTTGTTGGATGGTTGTATCACGAATTTGGCAATAATAGCTTGGACCATGGCAGGATTAACTGCATTTTATATGTTTTGGATGTACTACTTTCGAAGGGTATTACTAATATATTGGTTAATACGCTGAATATGATCATCAGACTTGTATGCTATAGAAAGAAAAAGCATATTGTCACATTTCAAATCAAAACCAGCACATTCTTGCAAATGCAGAATCCATTGAAAGAACTCAAAAGCAGCACATTCTTGAAGGTCACCTTACAAATGGGTCGAGAAGGATCCTTTAAGTTGACAAGCAAATTGTCACATTTCAGATCAAAATGCACAATATTCTTCGAGTGCAAATATTCCATTCCAAATGCAGCATCCATTGCAATTATGAGCCTCTTGCGACGATCAAGGTGTCTGGACAGTTCAAGTAGGAGGAGAACGTAATAAGTTTTCATGAAAAAAAGAGAAAACAAAAAGAATAATTTAAGAAGTGTACTATCCAGTATTACCACACCTGTCCTTGCAAAGTAAAACATGTCTAAGAGAACCATTCACCATGAATTCTGCTACTGTGGCAAGAGTCCCTCCTGGCCCATCTTGCACTACACCATAAAATGCCACCACATTGGGATGATGAAGTTTTGAAAGAATTTCAGCTTCACGCCAAAACTCCACAGTCTGGAAATAGTTCCCAAGTTCTGTCACGAAATAGCTAGTGGAAAGAAAGCAGAAACATGACCAATATATGTACTTAAAAGCTCTTACTTACCAGTTAAAAGATGTATTTTTTACCCAAAAAAATTTATGTATTCAAAAGCTTCTATAAGTTTTTCATTTTACAAAATTCTAGACTGCAATGAAGCTCTCTACCTGACTCTTTCTAAACTGCAACAAAAGCCATTTCAAGTATGTATATAGTAACTTGGAATGATATAAAGTATCAATTAGGTGTACAATTTACGTTTAATCTAGAGATTTCTCGATTGCGAAATGTATTGAAGCAATCAAGAATCAACATGAAAATACTTCACAGATTCTACCATGATATAGAAAAGCATGGTTTTTCTCCCGAGGGCAACACAACATTCTTTTTGGGGATTTTTATTCTACACCATCATTACTGAAGTGTTCGAGTGGTGGATATTTCGGGGGTTTTGGGCAAAAGGATTGCCTCATCATCTCCCCAACTAGGAGATGATTGGACTGATATTTTATAACTTTTTACCTACTTCTAGTTTAATCTTAACAATTGCAGTTTAAGATGAAACTCACCAATCTCTCCTGCTCTGATGACCGACCTGTGAAACAGCTTTTTTTTATTCTCTTGATGGCAACGTCAGTCCCTCTCCATTTTCCATGATATACGGTCCCAAATGTTCCAGAACCTAATTCCTTTAACTCTTCAAGATCTTCATTACTGATTATCTATAATGGAATGAAAACAAGTTAACAACAAAGATTGACACAAAAAATAGCTGCAAAGACCCATTTAAGCCCTAATTACTAGAAAAGATGTTTAATTGACTATAATGAATTTACTTCATTAAAAAAAGTGGCTTTAATGAATGTATGAGAATAGACTAATAAAATGTAGGAAACAATCTATATACAAGCCATATGCAGAAACAAAAAGCAGTAAGAATGACAAGCCCTCTCCTCCCCAACCCCAACCAACCTCCCGGCTCCCACAGCACACACAATCAAAACGAGAAAACAATCTGCCACTTCTGAGGGCCTTCTCATATGAGATTTCATTTTGATGGCTTCTGAAGATCACTGGCTCCTTTATTTTCTTGGGATGCTTATGAAGTTTGCAATTTTCTAGGTTTTGTCAACCTTCCCTTCAAAGAGACCTCTCGTGTGATAATTACCAATTTTTTGTTCCCTTGTACAGCAATACAACTGATGTACCTACCATGTTCGTTGTATTTAAGAGTGCAAAAGAAAGTGGTCCTTCACTTTCCACCTATTTACTGTGGTTCTTTGTTATTTGGAAACCGTCTTAACTACATATACTATTCACTGCCAAAGGCTAATATAGCTACTTGCCTCATTAAACCTCTGGTATGTTCGATCCAGTCGAATCATATTTCTACCCCCAAGTAGTTTCTGGTAATATTTTTTTTTGAGATTGGTAACTGTTTCTATTTCTTTAAATCAGTACATGGGTTGTACTGAAACCATATTTACATAATGAACTCTAAAGGCACTGTCCTATCCCTATAATGAGTCTAAAACATCATTGATAGAGACAGTGTCATTAGAGTAGATCTGATTACACCAAAAACACAAAGTTAGAATACAATTCAATTTTACTTGCTGCATATTACTCTCCCTATTCTCAAAAACTCTAAGATTTCTCTCTTTCCAGACAGTCCACCAAATAGTAGCAGGAATGATTCTCCAGTTGCTTCTGTTCTTTGCTTGTAATCCTGCTTCTTCCCAACTGTATAAGGCCTCTGCAATTCTACCAGGCATGACCCATGAGATGTTTTTGCGCCTTAGGAATAGACTCCACAATTGGCCAGTGACCTTGCACTGGATGAACAAGTGATTGACTGTTTCTGCAGTTTCCCCGCAAAAAAAACATCTTGAACACAGTGCAATCCCCCTCTTCATCAAATTCTCCTGTGTTAACACCACTTCCTTAGCCAGTAACCACACAAAACAGGCCACTTTGTGTGGGATCTTGGCCTTCCAAATGTGTTTCCAGGACCATTTGGATGCCTGCATAATTGGGTGGTTCAACTTCTTATATGCTGCACTTACTTTAAAAGTCCCAATACTGCTCCCCAACCACTGCAATCTGTCTTTCCCCATCTCCAAGCTACTAAATTGTTCAATGACGCTGAAGAATTCTGTAACTCTTGGAATTTCCCAATCATTGAGGTGCCTTCTAAATATAATATTCCACCCATGAGGTGTCCATAGTTCAGCTATTGTATTTTGTTGCTGAAGAACCAGAGTATGTATGTCCGGGAAAAGTGTCTCCAGATTTCCTGCTTCATGCCAATCCTCCTTCCAGAATCTAGTTTTAGCACCATCTACCACTTTAATCTTGGTGTTT